TGGTCTATCCATACATTCAAACCTACACTTCATAGAAACCAGACTTAATGCCCACATATAAATGCAAAATATGTCATGTTAGTACTAGAGATGTGACTGTACATCGTAGTATCGATAATCGTGATACTTTATCTGACGATAAATATGTCGATACTTTTGTTCGTATCGTGATATGTATCGTTGACTTTAAAATTGTTAATGTTCACTAGAAATTGACGGTTATGTGTAAATTTACACTGTTACTTGCTATCAAAATATACTTTTTTGTAAAGAAATTAACTAAAGATAGCATATCGTGATATGCATCGTATCGAATCGTATCGTTCCAAGATATCGAGATATGTATCGTATCATGACATTTCCGTATCGTCAAACCTCTAGTTAGCACCATCCCAAGAGAAGAAGTAATTTTCCATCATTTATTTGGGCGCTTGAGAATTGTTTCTCATTTTGTTGTAAAACCTTCCGGACAAATAGTAAGAGAAAATGAACAAAGGAGTCATCGTTCTTGTCCCACTATAGGTCCAGTTTCACACTTCGCCCAGAGCGCCCTATTTCAGATGGCTTTTGGTTATATCATCTAACAACTTCAGTTGGTTTCTGAGGTTGTTCGTTTGTTGCTAAACGCCACACTCAGCAATATTTCAGCTATATGGCGATGATTGTAAATAATCGAGTCTGGTCTAGACAATCTAGTGATCTACGCAATTAGGATACAATGACATGTGTCAACCAACCTGACCACCCGATCACGTTATTCTCCTCTTACGACAGGCATGGGTTGCTGAAGACCAATTCTAACCCGGATCTTAACGGGTCCACAAGGTATTTACACGTATTTCCAATGAGATATCGTAATTGTTAAAGTGTACAATGTCTGGATGAAAGCATTTCTTTTACTTTTACTATGTCTTCTATATATGTTACAGTAAATATGTATATTTTGGATGTGACACAATATACAGCTTGATATGTCAGATGTGGTGCTATAAACAATATGATATGTTCATATATGATGCTATTTACAACATGACATATGGGATGTAATACTATATACTTATGATATATCAGATATGACATTATATACAACTTATTTTGGAAGTTGCGCAATATACAACATATGTTGGTTGTGACCAATATACAACATGCTATGTCTGATATGAGGCTGATGATTATATTCATGTATTTGTATGTGTCATTATGTAACGAATGTTTTGATGGAAGACTTCATTTTTTCATGAAAATACAAAAAAAAAATTAAAAAAAGAATTCTTAAAAAAAAAAAAAAATTGGTATAATCAGCAAATATGTATATTTACTGGGGTTTTTTCGGTGATTATGTATATTTACTGATTCCGTCAGGGATTATGTATATTTACTTAAATTTTCAGGACATATGTACGTATTTGCTGAAATATACACTGATTCATTCCACATATTTACTGAAATGAAGATCTGATCAAGAATGAAATATAAAAAAAACAATTGTTTACTTGTTTACTTTATCAATGTCGATGGTGGTGTTGTCAGCTAGCCAGGCAATAAGCATGTCTTTCACATCAGAATTTCTCCACAGACACTTGACTTTGTTTATTACGCGGCTTATGGAACAACATTAGTGAGGAGAGACACACTCTGAAACAGACCGAAACTCGGTTCATTAGCATTAGTGTTGCGGTGGGGTAGCCTAGTGGTTAAAGCGTTCGCTCGTCACGCCGAAGGCCCGGGTTCGATTCCCCACATGGGTACAATGTGTGAAGCCCATTTCTAGTGTCCCCCGACGTGATATTGCTGGGCTATTGTTGAAAGCGGCGTAAAACTAAATTCACCCACTCACTCACTCGTCACGCCGAAGACACGGTTTCGATTTGGCCCACATTGGTACAATGTGTGAAGCCCATTCTGGTGTCCCCCGCCGTGATATTGCTGGGCTATTGTTAAAAGCGGCGTAAAACTAAATTCACTCACTCACTCACTCGTCACGCCGAAGACCCGGGTTCGATTTGGCCCACATTGGTACAATGTGTGAAGCCCATTTCAGGTGTCCCCCGCCGTGATGTTGCTGGAATATGCTAAAGGCGGCGTTAAACCAAACTCACTCACTTACTCATTAGCATTGGACATAATGCAAATAGAAGGAAGTCCCCGGGGCGTCTTTACAATGCGTCATTCTCAAATAGCAACAGACATATATGAAATGACAGACAGATGCGTTTCCAGACGCGGATACTTCCATTTTAAATTCTTCATAAAACATATTCATTGCCAACCGTCCAGATTAAAACGGATCTTAAGCAACCCATGCTTCTCGTAAGAGCCGGCTAACGTGTGGTCTGTCTCGCTGACTTGGTTGATAAATGTCATCGTACTCCTACTTGCCTATTAGTTACAGACCGCCGTCATATTGTTGGAATTTTGGCGAAATTGAAACAAACAAGCAAAGATATATATTGCCGTTCTACAAATTCCTTGGATCAGATGCTCATCTGATACATTCAAACTGCAAACCATTTCATATATGTTAAGAAATGGTCACGAGGCACATGTATTTTTCAGTTTCTATGTAATCACTATGTCAACGCTATTGTTCCAATCACTTGTCTTCTCCTTTTATGGAGGTCTGTAGACAGCTTTTCTTCAAACAAGAATAGAAATGTTTCTTACATGTCTTTCACATAATATCACGTTTATTGTTGAAACCCTTTCCATAATCATCAGAAACATCACAGTTTCATGTTTTCATGCCAATCAACGACATCCAAGTAATATAGTGTAAAAACGGATTTTTTCAGATATGGCACTTATGGACAAAGTAATTGTCTCTTCAACCTGAGTGTTCATTCAACATTGAGAGAACACTCTAAACATGTGCATAACCAGTGTTTCAGAAACATTTAAAACAATCAATACTGTATTGTTCACTTCTTCTGAACAGGCTTTCTATATACGTACTGAATAAGTGCCACATCTCTTGAATGAATCATGAAAACACTTCCTACATCAAAAGAGAAAATGATGAAAACAAAAGTTTGACGTGAGGAAAGTGTTGTCAGTAAAGTCGTATACGAGTTTATATCAACAATGAACTGCAAGATGTGTTGTCAGAGCATGCTTATTAAGGACGATATGATGGTCGAATCAATTAGAAATATTGACACTTGGAGACTGTGCAAAGAAATTAAAATAAAGTGAATTGGTAATGCGTGATATCTTTTGGGACACGGATTCAAAAACATTTCTTTTGACATCTCTTGTTATGGAGTTGGAGTATTCTATTAATCTATCTTACAACATCAGTGAGCGGAACACTTAACATATAACCTGGCACAGGCAAATTTCAAACATATTTTTGTGCGAATATACGAGATTGAGTTTATGTTGGTGCATAAACATTTCTTTCGAATGAGCGAGTAAACATTGGGTAATATTTCAGCCATACCGTGATGACAGAAAGAAGACATATATTAGAAATGTACTTTATAAAAAGCTGCCATCAAAGAACATTATAAGAAATAAGTCAAGACAGATTATATTTAAAACTGGTCTCAGATCATTTTACAATGCCATCATTGAAGGAAAACCAACTTCTGTGGATAGTCAACTTCTTTATTGCAATGAATGCGAAATTACGGTGTAGGTACTAACACTGTTATCAAGTGCTTGGTAACGGTGTTAGTGCCTTCACCGAAACGTCGCACTCATTGTAATAAAGAAGTTGACTATCCATAGAACTTGGTGTTCCTTCTTCTTTACAACTTGTAAAGTGCCTCTGAAAGAAAAGGCCATCATGTTGGGCGTCTGTGCAAAAGAATACCCAGTCTTGACTATCCTTGAATTGAATTCCTCCTTCCTCGTTAAACATTATAGGAATAGATCACTGAAAACCATCGATGACACCGGTTGTTTCATTGAATTTAGACGACGCCACGATCCCTTACAGGTGTATACAAATCAATACATTCGTCTCTCCGGTTTTAGCAGGTATTTCTCAATAGCTTCTGCAACCAGTCCGACATTATATTTTATCAGATCAATCCATCACAAGGAAAATGTTGCAAGTTATCACCTACAGGATACAGCTAGATATACACTACATTCCCCACTTTGCTAGATTTGACGTGACGGCTTTTAGATAATGGAATGGAGTGTAAGGAAGTGACCTTGACGGTTTCCTAATTAAAAGAAGACGCTAAAGTTAACTCTACCTATGAAAGCTTTATAATCACTTTAAAGTGGGAATGTATGATGTTTAACAAACATCTTCGCATGGAACTACACAAATCCTAATTTGTTCCACAACAGAACACGATCTATACTGACATTTTAACACATCGCTGTTTGGCACATCAACCATTGAAACGACGGCAACGGCACATTTTTAGTTGTGTGTGGATGGGATTTCTGTGATGCTGTAACGGACGTAATGAGAAAGGTAGGCAGAAAACACAGTTGTCTGTCGGATGATTGAACGGAAGTCCCGTCCTCCAAACAAGCCAATGCAAACAATGACATTTTAACAGTATTGCTTCGTGGTGACTACATTTTGTATTGATTGTACAGCTACTGTTGTAATCGACGTCTTGAAATGTACTTATTGGTCTCGATATTGCAAAGGTTCTTTCACCTGTCTTATCAATTGTTGATAATGTTTTTGTTTATATTTTGCAAACATATTGTCATCGCATACATATGCCAGTTTCAGGAACTGTACATTTTCATTCCATTATAAAACAGTTGTATGTAATACCATCTTAAACCTTAAATTCTGACGAAGGGAATCTGACCCTTTGATCATCAGAGAATCGTCACCTGTTGGTTTTGAAGAAAACACTCTTTAAAACCATCATTGGTAGGAAACCTCATTCCTCGTGGCAATAGATACTGTATTTATTATTGCTCTTTAATGCAGACCACCTGACACGTTGGAATCACACTTCCAATTGGTCTGAACATGAAGGCTAGTTATTGATTCTTGTAGTGCCAGTAAAGTTGCATATACAGGAAAGGCACCATAACACAAGCGGAGACTTCAATGGGACAGACGTTTCTGAAAGGTAATATGAATTATGAAACTGCGTGTATAAAATCAAGACATATTTTGTAGTAAATATTATTAATTATATAGATCAAATTTATCCATGTGGAGATTTGTGTGGAGATCTTTTCTTACCCTGGAGAATAAATCTTGGAAACGTAGCCATTGTTGCGGTGAGATGAATACTACCGTCATAGAGTCTTTTAACTGCATTTTGAAGTGATACACTTAAAGGCGAGAATTTATGGATGTCTACGTCCTATTTGAGGAACACGACATTTCGGAGTATATTCATACTCCTTCGTCCTTCACATGTTCCTCAAATACAGAAGCTGACATCCATAAATTATCGCCTTTATAGCCACCATGGTCTTCTATTGCTATTACTATAACTACTGCTTTTGTAGTACCACTGTATCGACTATGTAGTGATTTGTATTAATTTGTAAACCTAACTGATATTAGAATAGAAATGTTAATAACCTCCCATGTCTTTGTTGTTTGCTAGGGCGGTGGGTAGCCTAGTGGTTAGCGCTGAAAACCAGGGTTCGATTCCCACATGGGTACAATGAAGCCCTTTTCTGGTGTCCCCCGCCGTGATATTGCTGGCATATTGCTAAAAGTGGCGTAAAACCATACTCACTCATTCATTGTTATTTGCTGGTTTCACATCGGGATTGGACTGATTACATACCTTCACTCCTTCGTGGATGTAAAAAAGCGCCTAACTGTTATAATATGACACCATGAATCATATAATAAGTTCAATATGCATGAACTATGCGTTGTAATATGAAGGATTTCACGTTGTGAATTGATTTTCCATCTGTAAATAATTAATAACACAGTAAAATCTTAGTTTCTCAAAAATAATAGAACTAAGAGTTTCACCATAATGCTTAATGTGTTGACAAACGTGACACTTCGTGACATACAGACAAATGTTCAAACAGCACTAGCAAACATCAGTAGTATAGATCAACCCCTCAAAATGAAAATGACAAACATGAAGCACTCATTCAATATCTTGTGTACCCTCGCGCGTCCAAGACACAGGTGCACCTTGTTCTCATGCTCCTCATCAAGTACATAAATAAAGCTTGCGGAATCGCATTCCATTCCTCTACTAGAGCTCTGCGGAGTCCTGTGTGATCCACTGGTGCTTGGTGACGTGTGTACACACGTCGGCGATTTCATCCAAGGCATGCTCAATTGAGGTCCGGTGAGCATGCTGGCCTCACCATCCGCTCTACGCCCTGCTGCCTTAGGAATTCAGGGACAATCCTGGCTCTATGTCGCCTTGCGTTGTCGTCTTGCAGTAAAGAGGGTCGACCATAAAAGCCATGCATAGCTTACAGGGATGGTACTGCTGTAGGAGCCAGATTCTCGACCAGTGGAGTCCGACTGCCCTTAAACGTGGACGAACGGTGTTCCATTGTTTACATTGAAGTATTCTGTCTGAAGATCTGCTGCGTTTAGGAATCTGTTACGTAACGCAGTGTTAATCTTGTGTCAATCATATCGGACTATTGTGACTCTGGGGCAACCTGGTCGACGTGTATATTCCACGCACCCACTGGCTTGGAATCTCTGCCACAGTCTACCAATAGCACTCTGACGGACAGCACCCTGCCGATGAGTTTGACCAGATTCCAAAAGTCCTATAGCCTGACCCTTCTCAACAAATGTCAAAAAACGTCTCATTTTAAGTTGCGATTTCAAACAGGTACCTGAACAGTGAACGTCAAAAGCATCAATGCATGTGTATTGTCCTCCACTTTGCACGTGCAAATCATTGACATTAACTGGCAGGTTGATTTCCATATTGACATTTTTAATAAAAAGTGTGCCAATTGTAACACAATGTATCGGACGTTAAATAACGTAATAATGACATTTCAACGGTCTGATTTTTTTTCGTACTGTTAAGAAAGTTTGTAAAACATTCAGTTGTATATATTTTAAACAAAAAACCGAAGATTTTACAACGTTTAAGAAAAAATGTTACCAATAGCTTGTCCTCTCATTTTTATGCATCATTCATACGGATCTTTTCGGTTGCTTTTGCTTAGTAACACTTTTTAATCTTTTCCAGTTTCGCCAGTTTAATTGGCACCAAAACTGACTCAGACTTAGACATCTATCACATTTTTGCAGTGGCATGTCACATTACTTTCACCATTTCACCCAAACATACCGTCTTCAGTTAATAAGGGACTTCTTGTCATATAAGAGGAAGTATTCATTTTTTATGATACGAGGATGAGCTGATTGAAAATGCAGACACTGATAACGGCTTTTAGACTTGCACAAAGAATCCGTCGTACTTGTGCCACAAACGTTAAAACATGTATCATCTACAAACGCAGTGTGTTTGCCCGTTACCATGGTGAATTTTAATGACGGATGTAGTGAACTTTTGTTCTGTATCTGCTTAAAACTTAAAAATCAAATAACGAAACAGTCATTGAGATAGCGTCTCCAATCATTCCGCAAATCAGAAAAATATAAACGCATTATACTGAACTACAAAGTAGTCTCAAAGAGTATTTCAGAATATATGCAACGGAAAATACATTGTTCAAAGATAGACATCATGGTTTTTTTCAATTGACGTACATGCAAAACAGTTTATATTTATGGTTGAATCAACATCACAATCACCGCTTGACGGATGTTGCTTAAAACTGTTCCAGTACTCTGACAAAAATTGCTACTCAGAAGACTGTTTTCTAAACAGGAAATAATAAATCTGTCGGGATTGATTGAACCAACACTTCATCTGTTTGTCTATAATTGCAAATTTTTATAGATATTGTTATGTACATACGAGGCTTCAACAAAAATGTATCTCGTTGTTATGGATATCAGTCCGGTCAGTGTGTGTTTTGGAAGTGACACAGACAATATAGACGAGTGACCGTGTCATTTACACTGTACAGGAAATCCAGGTCACCATTGTATCTTTTAGTACAGTTCACGTCAGCCAAATAGTGAATGAGTGAGTTTAGTTTTAAGACGCACTCAGCAATATTCCAGCTATAAGGCGGCGGTCTGTAAATAATGAAGTCTGGACAAGACTATCCAGTGATTAACAGCATGAGCATCGATTGGGATACGATGACAGGTGTCAACCAAGTCAGCGAGCCTGACCACCCAATTCCTTTAGTCGCCTCTTACCACAGACATGGGTTACTGAAGGTCTTATGACAACTACGGTTACTGACGTTACCCGGATCTTCTTGGGCAGTGAATGGGTGAGTGAGTGAGTATGGTTGTACGCCGCTTTTAGCAATATCAAGGGGGCGACACCAGAAATTGGCTTCACACATTGTACCCATGTGGGGAATCGAACCCAGGTCTTTGGCGTGACGAGCGAACGCTTTAACCACTAGGCTACCCCACCGCCCATCAGTCGAATGGTGAGTAAACCTGTCTGATTCCAGGTTCATTTTGTTTCATATTGAATGTTAGCATAGGTTTCACAGTGTGGTGTTTCAGTAACACATTCAGGTGGTTCCCCCAGTTGCCATAAGACCTATCGTCACCATTGCGTCATTGACCAATCCGAAAGACGCAGATTTCAACATGTAAGCTCACACTTTCATCAAAGTTAGATGTTAGACAGGGCCACTTTCAAGACAATGTTGTTGTCTTTAAATTGTTCATACCAGTACAGCGCAAAATACATGATGTATATAACGTAGCTTGTTTGTTCTGGTGAAGGTGACCTGGGCTACGTCACAATGACGACAAGATAGTGGAGGGAATTTACTTGGCAGAACTGCTGAGTCCGTTTGAGTCTTTATTCGTAGCAGAGTCAGAAGTTACATATAGAGAGATTTCAAACAATAACAAATATACACGGTAGATACAGTAACATAACAGTAGCATTGATATTTAGGCAAAAGCTGTACGATTAAGGTGACAGACTTTACATGACTGGTTTGCGCGTTACTGAATAATTCAGAGTTACTGATTTGTGACGGTCAGCTACGTGGACAGCAAGTTGTTTACTTTTATCTTAAGAAGTATATAAATGTTCCGCTGATTGTTGAATAAAATATTGTAAATACACAACTTATGTTGACATATGATCACCATAATTTTGGATTAAATATATTGAGTGAGTATGGCTTTACACCGCTTTTAGCAATATTCCAGTAATATCACGGCGGGGTACACCAGAAATGGGCTTCACATATTGTACCCATGTGGGGAATCGAACCCGGCTTTTCAGCTTGACGAGCGGACGCTTGAACCACTGGACCGCCTCGTGTTTTAGGCTTTAGAGAGAAATATCTCAACTGCATTCTAATGGAGTGAATGTTGTTTTTCGCTTCCAACAGCAAATATTCGAACTGTGTTCTAATGGAGTGAATGTTGTCTTTCTCTTGCAACAGTAATATTCCAACTGTGTTCTAATGGAGTGAATGTTGTTGTTGTTTTCTTCCAGCAGCAATATTCCAACTGTGTTCTAATGGAGTGAATGTTGTTTTTTTCTTCCAACAGCAAATATTCCAACTGTGTTCTAATGGAGTGAATGTTGTTTTTCGCTTCCAACAGCAAATATTCCAACTGTGTTCTATTGGAGTGAATGTTGTTTTGCGCTTCCAACAGCAAATATTCCAACTGTGTTCTAATGGAGTGAATGTTGTTTTGCGCTTCCAACAGCAAATATTCCAACTGTGTTCTAATGGAGTGAATGTTGTTTTGCGCTTCCAACAGCAAATATTCCAACTGTGTTCTATTGGAGTGAATGTTGTTTTGCGCTTCCAACAGCAAATATTCCAACTGTGTTCTAATGGAGTGAATGTTGTTTTGCGCTTCCAACAGCAAATATTCCAACTGTGTTCTAATGGAGTGAATGTTGTTTTTCGCTTCCAACAGTAATATTCCAACTGTGTTCTAATGGAGTGAATGTTGTTTTTTTCTTCCAACAGCAAATATTCCAACTGTGTTCTAATGGAGTGAATGTTGTTTTTCGCTTCCGGCTTAAACAATCCAAATGTATTCAAACAATTCAAAGGTATGCAAACTAGTTTCTAATAATATGAGCACAATGATGCATGAACAGCCCGTTCCAGGAAACAATCTTTAATGATCATAAGCCAACGTTAAAGTATTTCGACATGTTAGTCAACTAGTCGGCGAGCTGTGCAAGGCGCTGCTCTAGTAGGCTACCCCACCGCCCCTACATGCTCAAGAGGTATTCGGAAGCGTACGGTCGTTTAACAGTTATTTCTTATGATTTTAGGAATGAATTCTGTCACTTTATTATCCGTTGGGAACATTAAATTGGACATATTGTGGTGAAAGTTTAGTTGTTTTTGTTTCGATTTGGGGTGTTTTTTTTGCATTGTATTGTTTTTGGTTTTTTTGGCGGGGTTATTATGTTGTTATTTTTTTACTTGTTGGTGTTTTGTTTTGTTTTGCTTTGTTTTGTATTTTGTTTGTTTTGGGGGTGTTGGGTGGGGAGGGGTTTTTGGGGTTGTTTTTGTTTTGGGGGTATTTGTTTGTTTTTTGTTTGTTTTGTTTTGTTGTTTTGTTTTTGGGGTGTTTCTTTTGGTTTTGTTTATTTATTTTTTCTTTGGTGTGTGTGTGTGTGTGTGTGTGTGTGTATTTGTTCCCATGGTTACAAAGTCAACATCAAAGGTATACAGTAACAACAAACACAGGAAAGGTGAAGCTGTAATTATGATTAGTTGCTGAATATTGGGATGAGTGAATTGGGATGAGTGATAAGATTTAATTTTTCAATGCCATTGTTTCTCTTTGAAATATTTTATTAGTATTGTGGTGAAAGTTAATTGCTACTCACTATATTAGGATAACTTTGTAATGTATTAATTTATGTTTTCAATATTCTGAAACTGTTTATTCAAATATGAATGTCACATTAAGGAAGCATTTGTACTTGACTTTGTGATAAAAATATATAATATTACATTAATTATTATACTTTATTTATTTTACGTTTAGGCTTCCTGAGTGGAACGCAACGGTTAGCCAAGAAAGCGCTCCGTACAGAACTAAATTGTGAAATTAGTCAATACCATAGATCAATATGACGTCAACACTTTATATTGACACACATACAATTTGGTTTCAAATAATATTATGTTACAGGGGCGATAAATAATTGATAGTCCCTATTAGAAAATCAATGCGCTACCGAATGCTCAGTGAGTATCACAGCTGAACAACTGGAATGAAGTGCTTCGTCCTTGAATCCGAGAAACGGTAATGGAAGCAGACAGAAAAGTTGGTGTTTCTAACTGAAGTAGTTATTCCACCCGAACTTGGCAAGAAGATAAAGTGTAAGTCTGGTCGTAGATGGAAGACTCCAAATCATTTCCGACTTAAGTTATCACGCGCGAATTGAGCAGGAAGATAAAGTGTAAGTCTGGTCGTAGATGGAAGACTCCAAATCATTTCCGACTTAAGTTATCACGCGCGAACTGAGCAGGAAGATAAAGTGTAAGTCTGGTCGTAGATGGAAGACTCCAAATCATTTCCGACTTAAGTTATCACGCGCAAATTGGGCAGGAAGATAAAGTGTAAGTCTGGTCGTAGATGGAAGACTCCAAATCATTTCCGACTTAAGTTATCACGCGCAAATTGGGCAGGAAGATAAAGTGTAAGTCTGGTCGTAGATGGAAGACTCCAAATCATTTCCGACTTAAGTAATCACGCGCGCAGGAAGGTTGGGCAGAAAAGGTTAATTGCCAGTCTGCAGGAACAACAGCTTTCTGTATAATGCTGTATTGGACTATACGTACGTTTTAAAAAAGTTGATAATTGCTAGTAAGCATGCTCCGCAGAAGGGAGCTCTCTTTACTGTGAGATTCACGAAAGTATCAAGCGCCGGCATGGAGTTGGATGGGATGAACTGAACACTAAAAACGTAAACAGCTGCCACCACTCATCTTTGTATGAGCGCCTCAGTCGAATTGTTGTCACTTAAAATGATCAGATTTGAAGCCATATCTCAGATATACATGTACACTGATATGAATAACACCTTGCGCTTACTTCAGACACAAAAGACTTCCTGTTTTGTGCTCATGCGTAATGGTTGTTATTGACCAGGGCCTAGATTTTCGAAGCTCTCTTGGCGCTAAGATAGTCGTAAGTGCTATCCATTAACATTAACTTACGACTATCTTAGCGCTAAGAGAGCTTCGAAAATCTAGGCCCTGTTCTTGAAGGTGAAGGTCTCGACGTTTTAGCCGGAAGAGTCTTCATTGTACAAAGCAATATAACGAATCAGAAAGGTTTCTACATATTGCGAATCACCTTCAAAACGATTCAGGTTCATAATCCTGTACATTAGCCGTACCGTGATCCGCTGATGGTTGGTTTGAGTCTCATGTTAGCCAAGATTGAGATCAGTGCCATACTAGTGTTCGTGGGTTCAAACAAATTGTACCCGTGAAGATCCGAGTTAGAATTGATCTTCAGTAACCTATGCTTGTCGTAAGAGCAACTACATGTACACTTTTATAACTGGATCGGGTGGTTAGGCTCTCTGACTTGGTTGACACATGTCATCGTATCCCAATTGCGTAGATTGATGTTCATGCTGTTGATCACTTTGATTGGTCCATACTCGATTATCTACAGACGAACTCTTTTCTAGCATTTTTGTTGTCAAAATTGAACACGGTTGTATGATTAAGATGCCAAAAAGTATTTTTAAAGTAACTGATACAAAACAATTGTTTTGTTTTCCATTATGTTGGCAGATCTCGAGAACTGATCTATCGGATACTGAAAGCACGTTGAAATGAAGTCCTGCAGCTATGATGTTCACGGGTCAGTCCTGGCCGCCAGCCTGCTCAGCGTGTGCTTCGCAAATATTTGCACCGATACTGGAAATCTCCCTTCCCTGAAGAACGGATATTCGTCTGCAGGATCGCCGTTTTTGAACTTAACGACAGGTAAGTTCAACAGTGAAAGTACCCGTATACATGGTCTCAAGGTTGCTTTGTTTCTCCTTGAAGAAACAGATTATCTAAACGTACACATTTTCTTGAAAATGGATCAATGAAGAATTGCCAAATACCAAAAATTCACACGATAATGGAAACAAATTCCTTGTGTAGTGCGATCTGCCAGAATGGAAGTTGAAAAAACAATTTAAACTTGCCAAGTACGTTTTTATCAAATCATAAAAATGAATGCTGAAAATAATCATTCTTTATCAACGTCACGGGTATTTCATCTTTTGTAATGAACAGGACTGCTATCGCTAAAATTCAATATAAAGATAAGCTTCCCGTGTGATAATCAACAACCCGTTCTACAAGTATCGTATAGTTTCTGAACGTAACCTTTATGAAATATTTGTTGATAGTCGTTGGTTTTGTTTTCGTCACGAGCTCAGGTTTTCATGTACAAAAAAGCCCCGTCCACTACGCTGTTCTCCATTCAGTTATTTTACACGAATGTTCATATACCTGAATAAGTCCTTAATATGTGCTATCTTTACTTAAAGGCCGGGGTTCAAACCTATACACAGATGGGGTATGGCATCCTATGCCTTGTCAAAGCTGTCTTTAGATGCAAAGCAATGTAGTATTCAAGTACATTCAATGAACTATCACAACATTGACTTACCGGTTAATGATGAAATTAAGCCATAGTGTAAAGAAGTATGTTATGAAGGCTCACAGTAAAATGTAAGGATGCAGACAGCCTACAAAACATACATTTGGAAAATATGTATCTCTTTTGAATTTCCCACTGTATCGGATCCAGTACCCAGAGGAGGTGCATATCCATAAAAACAAGCCTGTGAGTGGGTTAGAGTTTCATTCAGGGTTTCATATTTCAGGCAGGCTGTGAAAATGACCCCTCCCCACTCCCCTGACCCCATGCTGTGCAGGGTGAGGGCTGTACACTTATTTGATGCTTACATCACCATGTTGAAGATTTTATTTTCAGAAAATAAGTAAAATTTGAAATTTCATATATTCTAAACGAATTAAACTCTTTAGTCATCAACATATGTAGTGAAAGGATTGTTCGACATAAGGCACATGTTTATTCTAGTAGTAATCTCCAAGGTTAACCTTTGACATCGCCATGCCCTTACAGTCCTGTCAGTCACGGGCAGATAACATCTACACTGTTCAGGAGTAGCCAATGGGAGACTAATTGGAAACAAATGGATTTTTTGAAATTTGCACTCCGGCCTTTTAGACCACTACCCGTGAACATCCGAGTCACAAAAGATCTTCAGTATCCCATGCTTGTCGTAAGAGGCGACTAACGGGATCGGGCCGCCAGGCTCGCTGACTTGGTTAACACATGTCATCGTACCCCAATTTCGTAGATCGATGCTCATGCACTTGATCACTGGATTGTGTGGTCTAGACTCGATTATTTACAGACTGCCGTAATATAGCGGGAATATTGCTGAGCGTGGCGTAAAACTAAAATCACTCACTCACTTTATGGAATGTGACTAGATAGCAGTTGAGGTTTTGTGTTGGTCACGAGCTCAGGTTTTCAAGTATAAACAATCAAAACTTCAACTACGTTGTTTTGTATTCAGTTATTGTGTATGATGTACATAGATTTTACACGAATGTCCACATGTTCTAAATCCCAGCTAACACGCTACGTTGTCACTGCATTAGTATTACGTCATTATAACGTTATGTCACAACGTGATAACAGGATTGCACATTTACGTTGAGGAAACTTATGCTTTGGGTTCCTTACAACGTTAAAACAACGTTTCATATAACTTTCCACGACAGAGATTTCTGTAAAACTTTTCACTTTGAGATTCTTTCTTCACTATTCAGCTACAGCGTCAGAAAACACACGACCAAACCAACATACAAATTGACGAATAAACACTGAAGTGAATTTCCGCTTTGCTTCTTGTGTATTCTTCACCTCTGGGAAAACTATTCAACTATTAACGTTAAATAGAACGTTAAGACAACGTAAAATACATTAGTATTAAATAACTTTACCTTTAGAGATGTAAAAATGACGTATCACGTCGTCAGGCCACAACGTTGTGACAACGTAAATGGGAGTCCACATAATAACGTTGTAACAACGAAAGTATAACGCCGTGACAACGTCGTGACAACGTGAAATTGTTAGCTGGGAAATGTGCTTTACTTAAGACCACTACCGTGGTGTAGTCAATAGAGCACGGTACTGGTCTTTAGTAAAGCACATAGTCAATAGTGTAGTCAATAGCGTTACCGTCGCCGAAATACTTTAGTTGTGCGTGCGACGTTGAATAAAATAAATAACAACAACAAGTCAATAGAGCATCTGTCCTGAATGTCGGGGGTTTGATGTTCGTTCATGGTATCGAGAGTATCCATGTTAAAGATGACTAAAGTTATCTTAATGTTACACAGAACAGTTTCGACTGTACCATGATGGCGTTTAGGAATCACTTCCCCTAATGAGCATACATGATGTGGGCGAAAAGATGTTCGTATCCTGCTCCACCGGTTGTATCCATCACAAACACATGCTAGACAGTTGAACAAAATAAGGGATCAGACGGCACTAGTCAAAAAGGGAACTGCATCTGGCATTTGGTTTGTCACTGATGCGCGATTATTTGGAAATATCCTCCAAATGTCTACCATAAAACCTTTTGAAAGCTCTACTGAAGCTTGAATGTTGTAACTGTGATCAAACTACCTTATTATCCTTCCACATTCAGAACAGATCCTTTGTGCACATTGTCCTCGAATTGATTTGGACTTTGAAGAAGACAATTAGTGTTGTCTCTGCATTCAATGTCTGTGGTTATCTAACTGTTAGTTAATGCTCACCCTAGACAGTTGAGAGTACAAAGTGATTATATTGAATACTTCATGAGACAGTTCCATAACTCACAAATAGTGAGTAGAACGTGACATTTTTCAGATTATATTGAATACTCATGAGACAGTTCCATAACTCACAAATAGTGAGTAGAACGTGACATTTTTCAGATTATATTGAATACTCATGAGACAGTTGAGTGAGTACAAAGTGATTATATTGAATACTTCATGAGACAGTTCCATAACTGACAAATAGTGAGTAGAACGTGACATTTTTCAGATTATATTGAATACTCATGAGACAGTTCCATAACTCACAAATAGTGTATTCTATGTATATACTGCTTATTGATCGTTTAATGCATTGATGTTGTTGCAAAGACGTCCCACCGTGGTGCCTGTGAGTGCATGATGACAACTGTACAATGTCATGTTTTAACAAGCCTAATATTGTTTTTTAACAAGTGCAATATTTTTGCTCAAACAAGTAAATAGGACAATCCCCCATGGTTTTGTCCAAGATTGTCCGAGTGGATCACAAACATCTATTCAATGATGGAAAAATATGAATCGATGACTCAAGAAAAGTTTTTCATCGATTATAATGTATGACTGTTGTAGTGACAGGGTCTGTGGTTCATGAATGCAAGTGCATAATTCCAGTCGATTAGGATCTCTGGTCAGTTAGCACCATCCCCCATGTTCGTTGGTTCACGTCTTTGACCTTCAGACCATTCTTCCCAATCAGGCTGACATGATCTGTTTGATTGCCATTGTAGGAGTTGATGAATAATAAGAAAGGTATGATACTTTTGATTACTTTATGGATCAGAAAGTCTTTGTTATTTTATGAACCGACGTTTCAGTATAGATTCTTATATAAATATTATAATCAAGCAATAGTCACAACGGTGTAAGAATCTATACTGAAAGGCCGTGTCATGAAGAAGTTGTCACCAATAAAGTATCACACATTTCTTATCAGGATGACATGCCAATTACGACTGAAATACAGTTACAAATGCGTCATAAACACGCCACACTTATCGCGAACAGTATTGATAAGCATATACGATGTGAGTCATTTACAAAATGTTTATGAGGTGAACCATACATTTAACAGTACGGCCCTGATTATCAAGGTTATGGTTCCATGTCAAAGCACATGCAAATGAAATATATGTTATATTTGGGATTACACATTTTCAGAAAAGTACAGATTCTTGTACTTATATTTGTTTGCATCCCATCCGGGATTCGAATCTAGAGTCACATAACCGCCAACACACAAAGTCACCGCGCTTTCCACTTACACATGGCTGAGCGGGTTAGTTGGCTGACTTTGTGTGCTGGCGATTAGGTGCCTGACTCTGAGAGCGTGGGTTCGAATCCCGGATTGGACTCAACCCAACAAAAGTACTAGAATCTGTACGTCATTGACACAGTGTAATCCCAAATATAATTTGTTTACATTTGACCACTTTCTAAATGATATTGTGTGTTGACACATGCAAATTACCAGTTTTAAATAACGTGTAAGGATATATGTATAACATGGCTTCCTGACTTCGATAAAGAACACTCTACACAATGCTCAGTATTTACTGTACTGATCGTTACAGTCATTTGACAAAATGACTGGTTTGACAGATTGACTGTAACATATACAAGTATCGTGTATGCACCAGGTAGCCCATTTCTAGATATTGCTGGAATATTGCCACAAGCGGCGTAAAACCAAACTCACTCACTCACCTACCCACCCACAGATCCACTCACTCACTCACTCACTCACTCACTCACACACCCACTCACTCACTCACTTACTCGCTCGCTCACTCACCCACCCACTCACTCACTCACTCACTCACTCACTCACTCCAGGTGGCTTGATGCTGTGTGCTGTCGAGTGTCTCGAGCGGTCCAGGTGCATGTCCTTCAACTTCTTCCTTCAAGACGGCAGCTGTGAGATGCATGACATGGCGACAAGTGATCAGCTGTACGAGCCGTTGTCTGCAGTTGTACATTCAGATAAACATCAGCTGCCACAGGTAGGGACTCTCAGTATGATTCTGAGTCATCCGCGTCAGTCCGTCGTCATTCAAACTTTGTTAAACAAAGTTCCTTTCAGTTATCTGATCACATCCTGAACGGAGGGGCGGGGGGGTAGCCTAGTGGTTAAAGCGTTCGCTCGTCACGTCGATGACCCGGGTTCGATTCCCCACATGGGTACAATGTGTGAAGCCCATTTCTGGTGTCCCCGCCGTGATATTGCTGGAATATTGCTAAAAGCGGCTTAAGACTAAACTCGCTCACTGACTGACTCACTCACTCACCTGACCGGTCCGAACATTATCTGCATGTCTTCTGGGAAACAAGTAAAACTGGACAAATGGAATGTCCAACATTAACAAATGAAACTGAAATTGCATTCATCTCCCACTCATTTTACGGGGCGTTGGGGTAGCCTTCTGGTTACATCGTTCGCTCGTCACGCCGATGGCCCGGGTTTGATTCCCCACATGGGTACAATGCGTGAAGTACATTTCTGGTGTCCCCCCGCCGTGATATTGCTGGAATATTACTCAAAACTCACTCACTCACTCAACCACTCACTCACTAACTTATGCGCATCGTGGTTGCTCGGTTTATTAAAGCACCGTGTAACGTTGAGACCCACGTGTGTTGAACAGCATGTGGAGGAACCAGCTCCACAAGGCGATGTTACGATTACAATTTAGCAACACTCTAAAACAATATATGCTTCCCAGACACACAGATTGTCTAAGGATGCTGCGTTTGGTTGCTGATAACAAAGACAATTAAGGCAAAAGAAATAGCAGATTTTATTGTGGAGATCATTATATTTCTTCTCAAGCCTATGAGAGAAGTTTTGGATGCTGGCGGGGCACACATGTACAGTCACTACTAATAGTGGTAACAGTCTGGTATCATTCGTAACTACTCGTGTCATTCCGGCAAGCCGGATGTCTCGGACTATTTCCAAGGAAAGATAACCCTGAATTTCCATAGTTTAGCGAAGTTTCAAAGTTCGACGATACCGCCATTTTCATGTTTCGAAATGCGTCAACAATTTCCTACGCCAGTTAATGTATAACACAACACGAAAGTCACTTTAAGTGAGTTTCTTATGTCGTTAACAAATATCAGTAACGGGATATTTTTATAATCACGGAAATAATAATGAAAATCGATAATCGCAAAAAAACTATTTGACCTCATTTCACATTTTAATACGCGCGATTTGATTGGTTTGTCACGATTCTTGGCGATAATGGCGTACTATACAGGTACGAGTCTTCTTGTAGGTCACGGAAAGAGGCGACTAGTTACAAATGAGTAGGTATTATTTCTACGGTTACTATTGATATTGATTTGAAGGCTGGAAGAGTCAATCCTTTACAGGAAGAGGCGTTTACACGACATTATCATATTGGAAGACGTCTCTACGCTGCCAAACGATGCTCTTTGACACTGGCACTTTTTCGTTTTTGCAAATTGTGAACAGGGTTTCATTACATATTACACAGATTTAGGATCATGAACAATGAATATTGTATACTTCACGTGTTTTATATTACTGTGCAAATGCTTATATCCTCCATATCTTTTTAACACTGTACATTGTAAATTGCAGTTTCTTGCACGATCGTGTGAATCCCATGGCTGTGGCCATCATGAAAAATGTGTACCTGAGGACGGAGGTTATTCATGCGCTATAGGTAAGAATTATAGTTAATACTCTAGACGGGGGATTCCCTTCACTTACACGTTTCTGGTGTCCCCCGACGTGATATTGCTGGAATATTGCTAAAAGCGGCGCAAAACCATACTCACTCACTCCTTCACTTGCGAAGATCGGAGGTCCCTCTTGCGCTGTAGGTAGGAATTATTGAAATGCTTTTGATGGAACATGTCATTACCTCACGAGGGACGGAGGTTATTGATGTGTCATATGTAAGAATTGTAACTGAAGCTTACACTTATTTTTGTCAAAATTGTAATAATAATAAAAATACCTTTCACACAGGGCATTACTTGGAAATGAAAGGTCATTTCACTTAACGATATCTTGATCTAAAACATCTTTGCTTCTGTCAATAACGGTGCGACAGTGGTACGCAGTGAAGAGTTGCATCACCTTGATCTTCATTACGATACCCATGAAGATCCGGGTTAGAATTGGTCTTCAGCAACCAATGCTTGTCGTAAGAGGCGACTAATGGGTGGTCAGGCTCGCTGACTTGGTTGACACATGTCATCGTATCCCAATTGCGTAGATCGATGCTCATGATGTTGATCACTGGATTGTCTAGCCTACGTTCACTTGTTGTAGCATCATTTTATGCCTTTACTTGGAGTTGACGATGTAGAAATCGCTAGTTTTTCAGTATTTGCACTCTGTAATGACGTAAACGTGACCGTCAGCAGTGACGACGGCTACACAGGCTGGTGAACGGTTTGAAATATACCACCCTAGTCTGACTGCTTGCCATGGCAGATGCCAGATATCCTGTATCGTTTAATTTAAAATACTTAATGTTAATAATATACTTACTTCACACTTTGGAATATTGGGTATGATATGCTTACAAACAGATGCTTTTAAAATCGAACTATTTGACTATCGTGGAACATTGTGAAGTTGTGATTCTGCTTCGGTGAAAATCCCAGATTTTGGTGCTGTTTCACACGTAGGAAAATCACAAAATGCATCTTCGTCTCTCACATAATTGGTGAATGTAAGAAAGTTTTAATTTGATGATGGGTAATACAAACAATGAACTATTCGTGGCGTCGTCGTGAATTCAATTTTGTGAGTCACTCGCCACGGTCCGTTACTTACAAAGCTGAAATCACTCAGGACAGAATCCACCCATCCTGGTCACTCGAAATTATTGACATTGTCTATTTACTTGTCCCAGGCGACTGGTACTTCGATATGTTTCAATGGTCCGAGAAATCTGATGAAGCGATATCAATGTTAGTTATATTGTGTGCATCAATAAAAGCATTCTCTTCCCACAGAGGTTACTCCTGTCAAATCTTCCTACGTAGCCTCTGTTCTAATACGGCCATATTTCCCGGTTCTCGTAAAATCCCTTAGCGGCAAAAAATCGCAACACGAATTATCTCCCTTCTTTCTATCCAATCAGAACACGTGTTACATCGACTTAGATTCAACTTGACTAAAACAAGCAAATGTGGGGCCACAAATATCCCCCATCTGCCGGGGACTTGTGTTGATGTTACACACAAGACGTTTAATGGCTAGCTTGTCTGTTGTCAACGGGGGCGATGGAGACGCCACTGATCCGCCATAACATGACTGAGTTCTGTCTAGAAGAAACGTTTGCGCATCCCGCAGGGGGAATAGGTTTAGTTTTCTCGAAGCATACGGAAATTACCGAGGCCTTGCGAATGAGTCACTTTTGAAACAACGTCGCTGATTGCACAACTAAATCTGATTGCCTCCAATCACGAGTCTTGAACGCTCACACCATGAAAGGGCCGTATTAGAACAGAGGTTACGTAGAAAGATTTGACAGGAGTAACCTCTGTGGGAAGAGAATGGTAAACGGGTGACGCGGTTGCCTTTCTGCCGCACGTTGTCGTACAGAGGTGCGTGACCTCGTAGTGTAAGACTAATTCTAGCCCGGACCTTCCATGGTCGTTCAGGTTCTATGAAGCAATGTTAGTGCTAAGAGGATCGGAACGTATCTGTACCAGTGTCGATGTTCGTAGTGCTAGCTTCGACCTTCAGAACGGGGATTCCGTTTTACAAAAATGCCGTAGAGTCGCGACTGTCGTAAGTCACTTGTAAAGTTTAGAGGTCGCCGGTGTTTTAGGACAACGGATTCGTTGTAGATCGACGCCCAGGGCCCCATTCCTCAAAGCGAGCGAAGCGTTACGACAGTCGGAAGTCTATGTTAAAGTATGGGAGTTGCGATCATCTTAGCGCTACGATCGCTTTGAGGAACAGGGGCCTGGGCTCTGTTCCTCAAAGCGATCGTAGCGCCATGAAGGTCGTAAGTCTATGTTAAAGTATGGGAGTTACGATCATCTTACCGCTACGATCGTTTTGTGGAAGGGGGCCCTGGTTATGACTCCCGTTGAAATGATCAGTAGTTTGCTTATATGTTTGTTCACCAAAATCATCGTTTTCATCTTTAATTCCACATCACAATTACACGCCATAATAATATTGTTCAAAGCTCACTCAGTACTTTTGAGATTCATTGGATTAGAGTGAGTGAGTAAGTTGGGTTTTACACCGCTTTTAGCACGGTCTAGCAATATTCCAGCAATATCACGGTGGGGAACACCAGAAATAGCCTTCAAACAATGTGCCCATGTTGGGAATCGAGCCCGGGTCTTTAGCGGGACGACCCCACCGCCCCCGTTGAGATTAGAACATCTGTGTGCTAGCGCCATACCACGGTGCTCAGCGGGTCACTTCGGTCTTATAATGGCACATCCTGAACATAGCTGAAACTGCTCAAGGCTGCGTAAGTCACAGATTCCCTCATCGTTGATTTGCTATTTGTTCCTAAAACCAGAATTCCCCACATCTTGTGCCGACGTTAAGCAGTGTGCGCCCACCAGCGGTGATGGAGAATACTGGATATACCTCCTCAACTTCAACATGGCCAAAGCCCGCATCTATTGCCACAACATGGGTTCCACTAAACCTTCGGACTACCTGACTCTCCCTGTCGTGAACTATGGTAACTACCCGAATATCAGGAACCCTGTCTGTCAGGGGGAGGCTCAGGGCTTGGTCCAGAGTTGTGAAGGAACTTATGGGGAGGTCTGGTTCAGTAAAGTCAAGATCAACACATCGGTAAGATATATTACATTACATTACATTGCATTACATTACATTAAAATATTATATTATATTATATCATATATTATATTATATTATATTATATTATATTATATTATATTATATTATATTATATTATATTATATTATATTATATTATATTATATCATATTATATTATATTATATTTTATTATATTATATTAAAATATGATATATTTTATATTATATTATATTATATTATATTATATTATATTATATTATATTATATTATATTATATTATATTATATTATATTATATTATATTATATTATATTATATTATATTATATAGGGCTTATAGCAGCTTGGAATAGTAACATTTGGATGGAAGAGTGAGTGAGTTTAGTTTTACGCCGCTTTTAGCAATATTCCAGCAATATCATCGGGGGGCTACCAGAAATGGGCTTCACACATTGTACCCATTTGGGAAATCGAACCCGGGTCTTCGGTGTGACGAGTGAACGCTTTAAATACTAGGCTACCCCACCACCCCATGGATGCATACGGTCTGATCACCCTTCAGGAACTACCCGCCCCCAAACGCCCGAAAGGAACATTTGACAGGTTCCGATGTCTAGTATGGCCTATAGAGTTTGATATCTTGTCTTTTCCAGTCACTGAAAGTCACCACAAACGAACACTCATTTGCTAACTACACAAACCAGAAACTGTTGTATGGAGTTGCATCAGATTGCTATTCCAAACATACCGACGGAGTCAGAGCTTCATGCGGACCTCGGGGGACGTTTACCATCAATTTGACTGGAACTGGAATGTCTGTAACACCGGGGGTGATTATTGTTTCTTGTATATTGCAATATCCAAATTATGTCGTAAAGTAAGTGAGTGAGTTTAGTTTTACGCCGCTTTTAGCAATATTCCAGCAATATCACGGCGGGGGACACCGGAAATGGGCTTTACGCATTGTACCCACGTGGGGAATCGAACCTGGGTCTTTAGCGTGACGCTTCGGCGAACGCTTTAACCACTAGGCTACCCCACCGCCCCACTTGCAACATAAGGTCTCGTGAGAGGCCGAATCGTCTAAGGCTTCAAGCCACTGTGTTATGTCCCATATGAGAACAAGGAATCTATTAATTTGGATTCGAATCCCGTTTCGCCGTCGCATTTATACAGCCATAGCTAATCTACGCAAATCGGTAGCAGTATATGTATACATGTACGTGATGGAAGATTGAATTAGGTGTGTTTAATAACATTTAGTAGGGGTGGGTATTGCAGAGAATTTTCATATTGCGATATATTGCGATGCGAAAGCATATATTGCGATATGTATTGCAATATATTGCAAGAATTTTTTTTTGTCAAAAAACTACTTATAATCGAGTTAATGCTTAGATTTATATAGCAAAAACACAACAATTCACTATGCTAGATAAAGCTTTAATAAAAACTTTTAATCATGACAAAATAAATAATATTTGGCACAAATGAAACAAGGAAAAGAACAATCAACACAGTGGTTACTAGTTTGAACTAGTTTTTCCACTCTCCAAAAAAGCCCTGAGATTTTAGGCAGCACCTTGACCTGGTCAGGACATATCAGAGATCACAGGTCATTAATGAGTAAATATTTAAAACATTCAGATCCAGAACATTAGGAACAAAACTTAAGAACACAACTTCAAACCGAACTTAACTTGGCTTCCGGTGTGAAAAAACGGAAACATCCGAAGACTTCCGAGTGTTACGAAGTTTCCCGAATGCATGTCGAAATGCCGGTTTTCGATCAGCGTATCGCAATACGTATCGATTTCATGTTAAAACCGGTAAATACCGGTAAACCGGTTATATTGCGCAGCCCTAACATTTAGTTCCTGATTATTTTAGACACATTGACATCGTTATCGCAAAGTAAACACGGGGTATTTACACGGGGGAAAATCATAATTTCACAAACCAAACTACATAATCCGAGAGATGATAACCACATTCGGTGTGGAAGGATTGCTTTTGGGCAAACAGGTGTGGCAACTTGAGAATACGTCTAAAGCATGAGCTCAGTGTGAATAGGATTCCGCTGAACGGCAGTGACCTCTTCCGTTGCAAGTGGATGGCCAACTATCCTCGAAACAATGTGTCGCCGCCGATGATAAGTCTCATAAGTACTGTATAGTATACCCGTGAAGATCCTGGTTGAATTGACACTCAGCAACCCATCTGGTCGTCAGACTCGCTGACTTGGCTGATGTATGTTATGATATCCCAATTGCGTAGATCGATGCTCATGATGTTAATCACCGAATTGTCTGGTCCAGACTCGCATATTTACATACCGCCGTCTTCAGCAACCAATACATGTCGTAAGAGGCGGCTAACCGGGATCGTCAGAGTCGCTGACTTGGTTCACGCTTGTCATCGTATCCCAATTGCGTAGATCGGCGTTCATGATGTCAGTCACCGGATTATCTGGTCTGTACCCGATTTTTTTACAAACCGCCGTCATACAGCTGAAATAGTTGTGATTGCGGCGTTAAACATCAAACAAACATGAGTGAGTGAGTGAGTTGAGTTTTACGCCGCACATAGCAATATTCCAGCTATATGGCGGCGGTCTGTAAATAATCGAGCCTGGACCAGATATTCCAGTGATCAACAGCATGAGCATCGATCTGAGCATTAGGGAACCGATGATATGTGTCAACCAAGTCAGCGAGCCTGACCACCCTATCCTGTTAGTCGCCTCTTACGACAAGCATATATAGTCGCCTTTCGTGGCAAGCATGGGTTGCTGAAGACCTATTCTACCCCGGATCTTCACGGGTCTCAAACAAACATACACTATAGAGTAATAGCATACAGCAGTAAAGGCCTTTGTCTTCATTTTTGTTCAATTTGGGTTTTATCATTTTTCGTAGACAACCTGGAGAGACAGCGGCTACAAATATTGGATGAACGTAACGCGAACCATTGAAAGTACGATAATCTACCTGAACTGCGGGGGATATCCGGGCTTCTGCGAAGCTGTAGGTGGCCTTTATCTCCAACCCCACAACATTGACGGTAAACACAGAGATTGAGTGAGTTTAATTTTACGCCGCCCTCAGCAATATTCCAGCTATACGACGGCGGTCTGTAAATAATCGAGCCTGGAACAGACAACCAAGTGATCAATACGATGACACGGTAAACGCAGGCTCGCACTAGTGTAGAACAAGCACGCAACTCTTCTGCAATTAATAATTCACCATTTGAAGTTATTTATTTCAGTTTTCAGGCATTCATATACACAAATATACCGTTAGTGCAAAACTGTGAAACCTGTCATAAAGGGGAGAATTTGATGGATGTCAACTTCTTTATTTTGAGGAAGGCGTCCTTCGGGGTATATTCTTACCCTTCATCACTCCATTCACCCGATGAAGGAGTAAGAATGTTCTCTGTGTTCCTCAAAATAAAGTATGTGAGTTTAGTTTTACGCCGCACTCAGCAATAATCCAGCTATTTGGCGGCGGTTTGTAAATAATCGAGTATGGACAAGGCAATCCCGTAATCAACAGCATGAGCATCAATCTACCCAATTGGGATACGATGACATGTGTCAACCAAGTCAGCGAGCCTGACCACTCGATCCCGTTAGTCGCCTCTTACGACAAGCATGGGTTACTAAAGATCAATTCTAACTGGGACCTTCACGGGTTCTCAAAATAAAGAAGTTGACATCCATAAAATTCTTGACTTTATGTGCATTACTTCTAAATGACGTTCCAAATCTGATGAAGTCACTTGGAACGCAGCTGTTTCTAAGGATTAAAGACGCTCACATTTTTGCTTTTCTTTTCAGCTCTTGAAGAATCATCTGCAACCAAAGTTCAGTGCACCATCTGAGAACTGCTTGGAGGAAACACAGTTCTATCCTTCCTTGGCGACCATGTGTAATTGTTTGACTTATTTATTCAGTTAAGCTTTAGAATACGGTCTTAGAAACGAATCAAGCACATAGAGTAACCACGAAGGCTAATTACAAGTGATATTGGTCTTGAAATCGGACATTTCAAATAATCATCTTTAGTGTTGCCAAAATACGTTTTGAATTGTGGTTCTATTGGATAGGGTGGAGATAATGTGTAGGAGCCATGTTTTCTTATAGAGTTGCATCCATTTGTCGTGCAAAAATGACATAACATTTGCGCAGATGATACTTTAACGTCGTACGCATTATGCGTACGTAACGTTGAGAGGTTATCATACACTTAACCGGATTGCTGTGTTTAAAGACACAAAGAACCCGTGAAGATCCAGGTTAGAATTGATCTTGAGTAACACATGCTTGTCGTAAGAAGAGAATAACGGGATCGGGTGGTCCAGCTCGCTGACTTGGTTGATAAATGTCATCGTATCCCAAGTGCGTAGATCGATGCTCATGCTGTTGATCGCTGGATTGTCTGGTCTAGACTGGATGATTTACAGACCGCCGCCATATAGCTAGAATATTGCTGAGTGCGGCTTAAAACTAAACTCACTCACTCACTAAAGACACAAAGGACATGATGGAAGAATTACAATCTTTGACTCGTCACGATATGACGGAAATATTGCCGAAGAAGATAAATGTGGAGATACATTTTAACTCACTCGCTACAATCTTTGACGTGGTCACGCGAAAGCGTGTTTTGATTACAATCATGTATGTAGATAAGCTTCATGTGCGAAGAATCTTTTGTAATATGTTTGTATCTGATGGGATATGTGATTTGGCACGATTCTATTGCTAACATTAAATGGAGACAAAAAGAGTATGCGTTGAATGAATATATTTCGGCATCGAACGAATAAGTCTCAGAATCTCGTGTTGCCCAATCGCAGCCCACTCTGCCTGTAGTGCCTGTGCGAGTTGCTGAAGTGTCTGGGGCTGAGGGTTACGGCGTCGCACCCGTCTGTCCAGGGCATCGCACAGATGTTCGATCGGGTTTAAGGTTCCAGGCCTGAACGTTGGTGTACCATTGAACTCGATGTCGACGATGTTGTTGTCGAAGCACAGGGCCAAAATGTGGTCTTCTGGCACGTAAACCAGCCTCTCTCAACCTGTTCCTGACGATCTGTGCAGAAAGCCTCCTCGATCCGGGTATTTGTCGAGCGGTACTGGTCGCCGTAGCTGTTCGATGACGCAGGTGACGTACCCGGATGTAGCGATCCTGCGCCTCAGTGGTCGCTCAAGGTCGCCTTACTACGAGGGGCATCTGCTACCGCATTCTGCCGGCGATATCTCCCAGAGCCGTGAAATGGTGCTTTGGTGAAAATTCATGCGTCGGGCAGGTTGAGACTGGCCAGCTTCAAGCAAACCAATGGCGATATGACGGTTGGCTTCACTTAGACGTGGCATTTTGCGTTCGTCAACAATATTCCAAATACAGTGAATAATCGACAGACATCGATCAACCTTTTATACCCATCATTGAGACTATCTGATCCCCAACTTTCACGTGCATTACATGTGAATTGTGTATTCTGTGACACTACACGCCGAAATTGAAAATCATGCTGTTAAATACGGGTATTTTACGGATGGTGCGTTTTGTTGTGATGTTAAAAACATAAGCACCATAGGACTCATAAACAGAGCAAAACCTTTATAAAATGAATCACGTTTTAATTCATTGCTACATGAAATTGATATTTTCATGATGCGTTTCTTTTTTGGGAGAGTATATTTCAGTGTCGTTTATATGTAACATTTGTTTGTATATTCAAAACACCAGAGAATAATCAATCTTGAATATATGTCGAAACTTATACCTTAGGGCGAAAGAAAAATAGTGATGACGAGAACATTATTGGAACACATTCATTCAGCGATGACGCCCGACCTTTACTCAGGTTTACATTTAAAATTAAGTATTCATCGGTTTGATGCCATGCGCAGAAGTGGTCGAACAACGAGTTCCTTGTTCTCTGGCTTTTATGAAAATTGATGCAAACATGCTGTATTCTTCATCTGTCATGCAATAATAAAAAATATAATCTTGAATTTTCCTTAATTCCTTTTAGTTGTTGTATCTTTAATACTCCATGTACCTATGATGTTTAGCCGTGCAGTTCGATGAGAGAGACCACATGCATGCACAAATGGTCTATAAAATGCAGATATTACAGACGTGGCGTGTACTTTTATGTTCCAAAAATAATATGATAAATTCACAATGGCGAAGTATATAAAATGTTCGATAGATATACCAAAAGACGTTAAACATGGTCTTGTTGTTATAAAATCAAGGACTGGTCGGCTCGGAAAACAGATCGTGGGGTATTCATGCTTCACTGCGGCATGATCTCAGTTCCAAAAACAGCTATTGGGCTATGATAAATTCATTGAGCGAATTATAAGACAAAAATATAAAGACGTACATTGACTTTTCTTCTGTCCTAACATTTTTTATCACTGGCAGATGAAGTTAAACTTCAAATTGTGTTCATTTGTTATCATAATAATGAAGATGGAAATTTAATGAGTTAAAAAGTTGGCATCTTTGTTGAGCAATGTAAAAATATTACATATTATACTTATATTACCAATTGCGCAGCAGAGATCACAACCCAGTCCAGAATTCTGGGATATCATCCGGGTAGTCGCGGTGCAAACACAATAACAAAAGCAACAACCAGTCCCGGGGAATAGCTCTGGATCAGTGTCCCTTTAAGTTGGGAGCGGTGGGGTAGCCTAGCGGTTAAAGCGTTGGCTCGTAACGTCGAAGGCCCGGGTTCGATTCCCCACATGGGTACAATGTGTGAAATCCCCGTCGTGATATTTCTGGTATATTGCTAAAAGCAGTGTACTCACCCACTCAACCACTCACTCAACCAGTCCTATCGCGGGGCATGTTCATTAATGTATTTCAGCGTAACCCACGAATTTACAAATTGTGTCAGAAAATCTCTCGAAATAAAAAAGAGACTGTCACCTGCCCTTTTTATTGGGTCAGAACGTTTTTTTATTCGTTAATTACAGCTAGTAACCAATACTAAGCAAAACAAAAGTAAAACATATGGACGTGAATGAACATTGGGTCTTTTCTTTCTTACGAACGTGTATGTGGTGCTATAACATTCCGAAAAGTTTCTTTTTTTTCAATTTGTAAGAGTTTACCTTTGCGTGACATGAAGGTATCAATTCAAACTTGGCTTTATGGGAAATTGAAGAGAAAATACCATAATTTCAGTTTCTTGAAAAACTAGTTGTCACAGTCGGTCAAGTGTTTCTGAAAGTCTCACCATTGAGTTATCTGTTCAGTAAGAATTTTATTTAGGCTTTTAAATGCATGGCATTTGTTCGAAAGTTTCGATATATAGCCTTCTCTTATTCCGCCTCGAGGAATAAGAATTAAGCCTTTCATCTCAGGTGCTATAATCGTCCTCGTAAACATATCTCCTTTCCGCCTGCTTTCATCTCCTAATTGGCAACTGGTCCATTTCACAACTGAGGCAAATGTCATTTTAACGACTCTAAAATATATTAATGTACAGTCTAAACAAAACCAATATGTAATATTTTCGGGATCTCTTTCGTGTCTTCAGGCTCTCAATTACATGTCCTGCGCATATTCACTTTTAATTGAAATTATTGAATTGCATGATGAGCTTGCTCCTGACCAATAACACGTGTTGTTTTCTTTGGTTACCAAGCCAAGTTGGTTTCACAGCAAACATGAAGGCTGATAGTGCAGCTAAAACAGCACTCAAAACATAGTGTGACTCCACTTCTCACTCCATACTCCGATTATAAATCGGGGGTCGCGATTTAGGGGGTGGGGAGGCTTGGGCCACACCGAGTTCCTTTGGACGGCTTCCGTTATTTTTCAGCTTCAACTTGGGAATCAAGACTCCCTGTTCAAACTGAAAACACACCACTTACTTGTCAAGCTAAGACTGATCATTGGTCAAACGAAACCATACTAAGTGCCAATTACTTCGTATATAAGTAATGTTATCACCATTTACCTATGATGACAAATTGAATTTACGAAAGAAATGTGTGATAAAATAAACACCAGAAAAATAATCGAAAATCTATAAAAACTATCAAGTAATAAGAACCAAGGCATCAACTCCGTCGCACTCAGCAGTTTGATGGTGACTATTCTTTTGTTTCAGCCTCCCGTACACCTTACATCTGTCAAGAAAATTGGACACCATTAATGTTAACGAACGCCTCGTTAGTGATCGACGTGTGGGCTAGTTATTGATATTTTTATTATAAATAATAATTACCTAACCTCTTGCATTTAATCATATGTAGTATTAGTTATATTTCCTCGGCGAACAACGAAAGTTGTTTGTATAACGCCCTTGTTTGACCTCCAGATCAATTGCGTGGTCAAGACACGACACTTAGTAAGAAGCCGCACGTTTTATGTTGTGTGATTGGTTAGCGCTATCGGTAAAGCGGAACATGATTACCCCTTTTCACAAATGTCTGGCACCACTGATAGTTAGGGATCCATTCGTATTATTTTCATCATTGTTTTTAAACTTATGCAGCCAATGGAATCTGGTTCGTCTCATTATTCTCTGATGCTGACGTTCTAATATATATTGACCGAACAGTATGGAACGCATGTATGACAGTAAATACGGGCAGGTGTATTTCAGAGAGGTTTATTTATGTAACAGCAGTGTCCGAGTGCTTCAAACACGCACGCACGCATGCACACATACACACACACCTTATCCAAAATCCTGGATCCGCCCCTGGATTTTACCAGGGTCATCATCACTCTCTAACTGAAATACTGAAGACCATGTGTCCGGTAACACTGAATACCATTTATCAGGTAACACAGGAGACCATTTGTCCGGTAAACAGAAGACCATTTATCCGGTAACACTGAAGGCCATGTGTCCGGTAACACTGAAGACCATTTATCAGGTAACACAGAAGACCATTTGTCCG